CAGTGCTGGTTTTGTAGGCAAACATCAATGCCTTGAATTTTATGCAAGTATAAATATTTAATAATTTTATTACCTACTGAAATTTGATTGGCTGCATATTTTCAGATTTTTCCAGTTCATATTTAAAGGATATGTTAAATATCTGAAAAAAATCTGAATTTCAATATCCTCAATCAAATAGCGCCCTCCAGTGGCAATTTGGCATGTATCCTATAAATGTGCTTTCAGAAGATAGATGTGTATTAGAGTTATTGTCTGTGCACTTGTTTTGCACTCTCTGTCATGGTCTGGCGGTTACTGAATTAAAGGGACAGTTCACCAAAAATGACAGTTCTGTCATGATTTACTCTCCCTCGCGACGTCCTAAACCTGTATGAGTTTTTCTCCTGCGAAACACAAATGGAGATATTTTGTAGAATGTTGCTAACCAATCTGTTTTGGTCACCATTGACTTTCATTGCATGGACCAAAAACAAGCACCGAGACATTTGAGGCGTTTAGTGTGGCACGTGGATATGATATCTGTGTTGTACCAAGTGAATTGACTGAAAGAGAACAGTCACATTAAAGTCACACATTGGATTCCCATACAGTAATGCTTTGATAAATCACCCAAGTAAATGTGTCTGGTTGATTTACCTTGTTTGACGGTTATTGATTTATTTTTCCCCTAGTTTGAAATGCTGACCGGCACATTACCGTTCCAAGGAAAAGACCGGAACGAGACTATGAACATGATTCTTAAGTAAGTGTGGCTGTTAACACAAGCCAGTCTGTGTGATGTTTGATTGGTCAGATATTTTATCAATGTAACTGACTGGTAAACTGAAGAACCAACAGGAAACACTTACACAAGCACAGTTCACTTGTTCAGTGATCATGATGACTATGCACATAAAATGCTGGTAATGTTGTATTTTTTTCCCTGTTTGTTGCTGCACATCAGAGCAAAGCTGGGAATGCCACAGTTTTTAAGTTTGGAAGCACAAAGTCTTTTACGAATGCTCTTCAAACGAAATCCATCAAATCGTTTAGGTGAGTCACCTGCGTTTCTCGTCATGTTTTGTGAATGCAAGCACTAGGCCGTGGCTTGTTGAGTTTGAATATAAGCAGACTGTGGTGTAATCATCATAAGCGCTCTGTTCCAGGAGCCGGTCCTGACGGAGTGGAGGAGATCAAACGGCACGCATTCTTCTCCACCATCGACTGGAATGTAAGTATCTGTTATCGCAGCATTACACACTTTTCTCAGCAGAGTGCCTCATCCTCCATCATTGAGTGTGTGAGTGTGAGTGTGGGTGTGGGTGTGGGTGTGTGAGTGTGGGTGTGGGTGTGTGAGAGAGTGTGTGTGTGAGAGAGTGTGTGTGTGTGAGAG